GTGTGTGTGTGTGTGTGTGTGTGTGTGTGTGTGTGTGTGTAGGGGAGGATAGTTGAAAAATAGGAACTAGATTATTTAACCAATATTTGGAAGTGAGGTCAAGTATGTTCAACCCGAGAGTCCCAGGGGGAGTGGCAGTTGGCAAGAGTTTGCTCTCCAAGATCAAATTGCAAGCCAATTAAGTCTCTTCCTCCACCCAGATCCTATTAAAGACTTTTAAAATTTTTATTTATTGACAGTCGGGGTGACTACGGGCAGCATCTCACTTCCCTGGCTCCTGCCACTCACAGGAGCTGTGAGCAGCAGAGAAGAGTGGACAAGCAGGCAGCAGGTCACGACTGAAAGTCTGATTCCCGAGCTCAGGGACCAGGGCAGCCAGCCATGTAGGGGAGAGCCGCAGGCAGATAACTGCACGTTCTCTACCCTTCAGAAAGATGGAAGATCCTTTGCTTACACAATAAACATAACCTCCAAAACACAGTACCAGAGAGAAACTCCTTTCTACACTTGAAAATGCTTCCTATTTGTGTTTCTTCCTAGCTGGTTAATGATGTACCTTCTGATGCTTTGGAGCACAAGGTTTCCAGCACAATTCCTTGGGTTCTGGAGGACGGTTAGGATAGCTAACCCTCCATCCTAAACACGGAGTTCACTGGTTTGAACGGATGAGTCAGTACATGTCTGTGTTCCCTGATCTATGTGACATGCTTGTCCAGGTATGTCCAGGAACTGAATATCATAATATCTAATTCTCTCCCACCACTACTGACCGCCCTCCCAAGAAAAAAACTCAAAAGACAAGATTGTTTTATCATATAATTCAAGGTTCCCCTTAAACTTTCAGAGTCAAACTTGAGTTACTCTTGGCTGGCCTTGAACTTAGGGTTAATTCTTCTTTCCACCCCTCATAGGCTGAGGTACAGGTACAGGTACAGGAAGACGCCTATATCACCAATGTCCTGGCTACCGTATTTGCTAGACCAGATTTTATTTTAAGTGGCATATGCAGAAAACACATTTTTTTTTCATATTTTTACTTGACCTGTACTATAACCAAAGAACTTACACTTACTCTTATATTCAAGAGAAAGTGGGATTTGATGGCACATGCCTTTAATCCCAGCACTTGTGAAGAAGCAGATTTCCATGAGTTCAAGATCAATGTGGTCTACATAGTAAGTTCTGGGCTAGTCAAGGATACAGAGAGACTCTGTCTTGAACAGAGGAAAAAAAGGGAAAAGAAAAAGAATTTAAGATAGTGAGAGCGCGCGCGCGCGCGCGCGCACGCGCGCGCACACACACACACACACACACACACACACACACACACACACCAGAGAAAAAGGCCTGGGTGTGACATGTAAGTCTCCTCTGCGTTGAATCAAGGTCAAAGTTTAACTAAAGTTTCAGTTTCAAAACGGGCAAGAATGTAGCCAGGAAAATGTCACCACCCTACACCAAAATCCATACCATCCAGCACCTAAACCCGTTTCATGGTAGTAGGAAGATTAAGGAATGCTCTTCAGTCAAAAGGCTTGGCATTCTAATGGACTTCCCTCAAACCAGAAGCAGGCATGTTTAGGTCTAAAGTTCCTGCAAATTTCATTTCGGAACCTCTTGAGGACACATGTTGGGGGGGAACGCCCAGCTCCCAAGCACCCATCACTTCCTGAAGCTGGGGATCTCTCCTGCCTCTCTTGCTTCTAATATTCCAATGGTTCAGTGACCAGGAAATTTTTTTCAGACAAAAACTGCCCCGACTCTAATTTTTAAATGCTGCTCAGCACATTTAGGGATTAAGCAGCTAAACACTCCCAGGGTTTCCCTTTCCCTAGTTTATTCATTTACAGTACAGTTTGAGGCGAGGTGGCTCGGTAAGGTAGCTTGCAGCCGAGTCTGAGGCCCTGAATATGAGTGACGGGACTTACAGGGTGGAACTGAGTCCCGCAAAGTTGTCCTATGACCTCCACCGCACGCCGTGACAGCACCACCCCCCCTTCAAAATAAATGTAACTTTAAGAAGTTTGCACTTCGGGACGCTCCTAGATCTCTCTGACGGCAGCTTATGCCGCAGTTTTTCAAAGGTAAGCGTCAAGTGTGGGTGGCCTGCTTGCGCCGCCTTTAAACGAGATTCGACAGCTCTGGTCCCGGACAGAGCACACGGTCAGCCGGCACAGGGGCAGCTGCTAACCCCCAGCTCTGAGTTCGAGGCCACGCCCGGAGCCTCACATCACACACCTAACACATCGACCCTCCCTCGAGCCCACAGCTCGAGGGGCTTCTCCCACCGCCACACCACGCGGGACCCAGGGACAGAGCTTCCCTGCCCCTTCCACGGCTCACCCGCGCCAGCCGTGCAAGTATCGCGGTACCTAGGCGCCCTTGCCCTCCAAGTCTAAATGGCGCGCGAGAAAGCTGCGAGATCGCATGGCCTTCTGGGAGTCGTAGTCTACTTCTCTGCTTTCTGGGAGTTGTAGTCACCGGAGCTCCCAGCGCTTTGTACATCGCTGGCGCTCGCGACGGTAATTGTGTTGATTCTCCCCCGCGCACCTGTTCAGAACTCAGGCACTTAATACTATTTTACCACGCCTGTTCTAAGAGCCAGCTCTGCTCTTGAGACAAACAGGAATACAGAAAATTAGAGGCTAAGAATAAAGAAGCTGCAGGATCTAAGCCACAACTCTTAAGCATGTCATTGAAGCGATCACTTTGAGAATTTGGGGGGGGGGGGGAGCGGGCGGTTAATTGGCTGGTCTGGAACGCAGAAATCTGCCTGCCCCTGCCTCTGTCTCTTAAATACTGGGATTAAAGGAGAGTGCTACTGCAACCACGGCTACTTGAGAGGCATCTTGAGGGGTGACCAGCACAGAGGATCTAGACAGCACTCCTCGTGGGCACACCTTTGGCAAAGTCTCAGCATATTGGAATAATTGTCGTCACCCTGCAGCAATCATAGGTCTCAAGAACCTGTGTTCATTGAGGCTACTGAATTAGCTTCGGATGACCCACCATGGGAGCAGAGGAGGGGCCTGTGTTCCAGTCCTACCACTGTGGGCCATCAACCATCAGGACCTCACTCGCTGTTACAGACTACGTCTATTTCTTCTTCTTAATTGGTAGTCACGGCATTTACCTCATGGCCTACTCAAGGCTGCTTTAGGGAAAGGACCACAGAGAAGTATATGGTTTTTGGCACCACAGAACGCCAGGCCACAGATCCCCTCAACCCAACCCTACACCCTGCCTCACATCCCACATCAATGCCTCATAAAGATCCACATGAAGACAAGTAACACAGCAGAACAGACACAGGGTCAAACGATCCCTTTTATTATGGTTCATCCAGTTACCACAGATAGACACATTGGCTCAGGCAGGTCAACTGCCAGCTAGGGAATAGTTTGTGTCTCTCGGAAACAAGGGGCAGTGGGCACCAGGAGAATGCAAAAGCAGGTCACTGGCTGGCAACAGACAGGAGGACCCCCCAGAACCAACTGGGCCCTCCTCCCACCCCCAAACCAAACCGTCTGTGCCCAGCCCCATTTCTCAGCCTGGTTCCCTCCTCATGAAAGTGCATAGTTGCCTGGAGATGCAGCATTCCAGGGCCTGAGCAGCTGGACCAGACACCAGTAACAGGCTTTCCCAAGGGCAGCGCCAGGCATGGCCAATAGGTCTGAGCCAGGAAAGAGGAAAGGCAGATAGGGCAGGAAATTGACTGGAGGTAACATCCAAGAGCTTGTGGATGCTAGGCTGGCAGCTAGATCACAGCCCTCCTGGAACTACCAGAGGACTAAGAGAAAGGGAGCCAGAAGTTGGGGGTCAGGAGGAGGGAAGAGGAAGGGCTTAGCCCCATGGTCTCCTAGGATACCCAGAGCTATGACAACTGTTCTCCAGAGAGGAAACAGTAAGGGGGAGAATTCACTAAGCCTAAGGGGTCATTAGGAAGGGAACTTTCCAGAGACTCTTGGCTTCTCTTACAAGAAGCTGGAAATCAAAGCTCAAGGTGGCCTGAAACCAGGTCTTAGGTCCCAAGGCCAACCAGCTGGGGATGGCTGAGTGTAGTCTGGTTCTCCAGGCTACCTAGCCCAGGTGAGTTTCTGTTGGAAGGAGGTGAGAAACAGGCAGCTGCTCCTTGGTAAGGCCTACCCACCTCAGGCCTCACACACAGTCAGATCCTCGACCAGGCAATGTCCACCCACTGCTTGGAAGAGACAGTCTCAGGGACTGAGATCAGTTATGAAAGGGAAGGGGGTTCTAACAGAACTAAGCAAAGGCCAGGAACCAAGTCCTGTTGTTCTCAAGAGAATGGAGGGAAGGAGGGAGGGGCAAAACTCACCAAACTAAAAACTAAAGGCAGAGTCCTTCTTCCCTCCCCGCCAACCAGGAATCCTACTCAGGACATTGTGCTTGCATTGGGCCTGGGAGCATCTCCACAGAATCTGTCCGGCAGCCAAGGGCAAGTGGGACTGGAGAGGCAAGCTACCCTCTCATCGGGCTTCTATTCGACTTCTCTTCTGAGCCCCCCCCCTTCAGGCCTGGCCCTGTGAGCTCCATCCATTCTGACATACTCAAATAGAACAGCTACCCAGGAATCCAATGGTCACTCTGAGATACCCAGAAGCCCTTGTGGGCTGGCACCTCCCCCAGGGGCCAACAGTGAGTTCCATGCATGCCCGCCCTTCTCCCAGTGCCTTTACAGCTAAAACTCAGCTCAGCAGGAAATGCAGAGGAACTGGAAGAGGATGGGGAGAAGAGGGAAGCCGGAGAGGGAGGAGCGGCCTGCCTCTGCAGACCAGGCTTTTGGAGCCAAGGAAATAGGCCTGCATTTCCAATCCCTGGGTGCCAAGTACCAAATGTGCTCTCCATCTCCAAGCTGTGTACCCCGTTCACATCAGGGCTGGTTCAGCCCCCATGTCAGCTTCCTGGAACCCCCGGGAAGCAGATCAGATTTGGGGATCTGTGCAGTCTTGGAAGCAGACATAATGGGGGACACTCAGCCTTAGGAAGACAAAGAAAAGCTTCATGGGGAGAAGAAAGATCCCAGGAGAGCCGCTAGGGAAGAGAGCACAGAGTCTAACAGTGAGGCAGAAACGGGTGGGGGGGGGGGATGTGTTGAGGGGAGGACTCCAGGGAGCAAGGAAACATCCTCTCCGCCCCACCCTCCAGAACAGATTATCACCATGAATGCTAAATACTGTTGCTTCCCAATGGGACCAAAGGGGGAAATAGCTTCGGCTCATAACTCTACACAGGGTGCCAGGCTCTCTGCTAGGCCTCCCCCTGCCCCATGAGGAGTCCCTGGGCCAGGGCCAGGGGGGGCAGCCTGGTGGACGGGGTGGAGGGGAGCTGGTTTAGTTCTAAACACACATGTAGCACCACGACAAGAGATCTCCACTGCACGTTATTTCACAAGGGGACATGGACTCAGCTACCAGTGCACAGGGCCAATCTTTGTGCAGCCCACGGCTCTTGGGGTGCCAAGAGCAGGACCCAGAAGGTGGGGGGCAGGGAATAGACATATACATATACATACACACACATATATATATATATAACTCTGATTCTTTGTACAAAGTCGGGAGGGAGAAAGGGGAAGGGGGAACCCTGCTTGGTCACCACACAGATGATGTGGCATGAGCCCCCTGTCCCACTGGCCCCCAGCCCCGCCTCCTGGTGGGCTTGGCTGGCTCACATCTCATTAGAGTACGTGTAGTTGGGGGTGGCAGAGTACTGAGTCTGCGGCTGATTCATGGCGCCCTGCGCGGCCCCCATGGCTGCGTTCTGGGCTGCCTGTTGCACGTGTGGGTTTTTCCAGGCTCCGGTGGTCCATTCCTCCTGAGCTTTGCTGAAACTGCCCCCGCTGCCCCGGTAGAATTTATGAACCTGTAAGAAGAAAATCGTAAGGAAGGGCTAGTCAGAGAGGAGAGCATGCAGGGTGTTGCAGGCCTACAGTCCCCGAAGAGGCAGGAGAATCACGATTCAGGCGGCTGTCTAAAAAATAAAAACAAAAAAGCCCGGAGAGTGGCACCTGCCTTTAACCCGAGCCCTTGGGAGATGGAGGTGGAAAGATCAGGAGTCCATGGTTATTCTTCAATACATCTTGAGTTTGAGGCCAGCCTAGAAGTCATACAGCCCTATCTCAAAAATTGATGAATTTTTTAATTAATTAATTAAAGTGGAACATGGTGGTGTGCACCTTTAATCCCAGCACTCAGGAGGCAGAGGCAGGCGGATCTCTGAGTTCAAGGCCAGCCTAGTCTACAGAGAGAGTTCCAGGACACCCAGGACTACAAAGAAACTCTGTCTCAAAAAGCCAATAATGAATTTTTTTTTTTGTTTTTTTAAATGGGGTAGGCAGCCGTTCAGGAAACAGATGGGATCCTTCTGTGAAAAATAAGCCCTCAGAGTAAGTAAGTCAGAAGACTTCTGGGTCCTCCTTTTTTTAAAAGAGTATGTGCCTCTGTGTGTGTGTGTGCGTGCCTGTGTGCCTGTGTGTGTGTGTGTGTGTGTGTGTGTGCCTGTGCGCACTCGTTCATGTGACTCCAGGTGTCAGAGGACAAACTCCAGTGTCAGTTCTTACCTTCCACCTCATGTGAGACAACGTTTCTTCTTGTTTTGTGTGCCTCAGGCTAGACGGCCCAGTGTCTCCTCTCTCCACTTCCCACCTTGCCTAGGAGTGCTGGGATTACCGATGCTCATAGTGCCTGGCTGTACATGGGTTCCTAGTTTTCACACTCAGATCCTCACAGTGGGACAGCAAGTGGTTTTTACCCGCTGAGGGATCTCCTCAAGGCCACTTGTGTGTGTTGTGGTTTTTACCCGCTGAGGGATCTCCTCAGAGGCCACTTGTGTGTGTTGTATCCCAACGCAGGAGGGGTGCATTTGCATGTACCTGTGGAGGTCAGAGGTCAACTTCAGCTAGCTTCTTCCATTGCTCTCTACCTCATGTTTGGAGAATGCCCCTGTAGTGATATTGTGTTCCCCAAAATATTGTGCACCCTAATAAACTTATCTGGAATCAGAGAACAGAACAGTCACTAGATACAGAGGCTAGAAAATGGTGGCACTCACATCTTTAATCCTAGCATTCCTAAGGCAGAGATCCATCTGGATCTCTGTGAGTTTAAAGCCACACTGGAAACAGCTTTAATCCCAGGAAGTGAGCC